AAAAAAAAAAAAAAACGCCCAACCCAAATCACTCGAAGTCTCACCAAAACAATTTTCAGCCCGATCGGACTTGAAATGGCGGAGAAAAAGGGGGAAAACTTCATTTTTTTGCTGAAAAAACTGATTTTGAGAAAAACGCAAAGAAATGTGTGTTTTTTTGGTTTTTTCAGCATATTTTGTGATTTTTTTCGACTTTTTTATATATAAGATGTGGTTTTTCAGTTCTCAAAATGTACTCAATGGATAGAGGGCATTTAAATCTATATACTAATCACAAAAAATGAAAAATGAAAAATGTGAAAATTTTGAGTTGGGAAAGGGGGGGGGTCCCCTTAAAGACTTGCATATGTACCATTAGAAATTGTATGAAAACTTCGGAAGAGATTAAAGTAATGTCGATGTGAGACTTAAAATTACTCGGAGTTTAAAATTGAATAAGTTGAGGACGGAAGTAGCTAGCGATCGGTTGTTTTCAGCAATCGAAAGAGAAACAATTTGAATAATTATCCTCTCATATCCTTCTAATGCTCAACAAATCAAATTGTGTATCTGTTCGATCGAATAATATAGAATTTAAAATTGTTTTGCAGAAATCATTGATTTCAAAGCGATTTCATCGTATATGTTATCCAAGTAATAGACGTTTCAATGTTTTTTTTTCTTTTAATTTCTGAAGATCACAGATCTCTATCTGCTTGGGTTCTCGATGGAATAAGATAATTTTTCAATTGAATATTTTTTATTTTTCTAGCTGAAACACTTCGTGCACGTCTTCAAGAATTACGTGCTCGTCGTGCTGATTTAGAAAAAATTCGTGAAGAAGTTATTAAACATTTAAAAAATATTCATAATCGAATAACATTACGACGAAAAGAAGGTGATTATATATATTACTATTATTAATAACTAATAAAGTATTTAAATATATTTAGCACGTGATATGTGGAAGAAAAAATATTTTTTTGAAAAGAAAAAAACTCCACCATTAGAAGAACGTGTTATGTTATTAAAAAATGAATTAGAACAAATACATAATAAAACAATTCAAACAATTGATGGTGAAGCAAAACATGCAATGCAGATAGGTTATACAAAAGAAGCTGAAATTGGAGTAAAATTACATGATACTTTTTGTTTTCTATTTATTTTAATATTTATTAATTTCTTTTTTTTTTTCTTTCTTAGAATTATATTGTGCAAATAACACGTACTCATCATAATATTCAAGATATTCGTCATCAAGTTGAACAAGCAAAATTACGATTAACAACTGATGTTAAAGTAAAAATAAGAAAAAAAATTCTTATTTTTTCATTCTCTTGTCTTTTTTTTAATTTATTTATTTTTATAGTTACGAAATCAAGCTGAATGTGAATGTCGTTCATTAAGACATGAATTAAATCAAGCTAAAATGAACTTAAATCATATAAAGACTCGTGTTGGAGCTTAAATTGTCATTTCTTTTTTTTTTTAATTTTATTTATTGCAATATACAATAATGGGCAAAAAAGAGGGGATGCATACGTATAATGAATATAATAACTACACTAAAACCAACCAAACAAACAAACAAACAAAGAAAAAAAAACTGTTTTAAGATTAATATGATTATTTTAGAGTTTAATCATCGTCATCATCATCATCCTTGTCATTATCTTTTGGTTTCATATTTTGTTTTTTAGCTTTACGATCAGCTGTACGATAGGATTCACTTGATGATGATGATGATGAAGATGATGATGATGAATTACCATCTTTTCCTAATGCAGCAAGAATATTTTTTTCAGTTTGTTGTAATTGTTGTTTGAATAAATCAAGAATATTATGAACATCAACAGTTATTGTTGCCTCATGTTCATGATGGTCCTTATGACCATGATCAAACTTTTTATTTTTATTGTCAACTTCTATTAAATATAAAAATAAGTGAATAAATACCAAAGATTATATTTGATTTACCTTTACTATCATCATCATCTTTTGATGTAGTAGCTATTGTCATAAAAATATAATATAGTGAATTAATTATTTTCTATTGTTTTCTTTTTATTTTTATAAATCTTACTTGTTGTTGTACTATCAGTACTTGATTTATTGACCTCTAGTGATGATAATACAGGATCAACAATAGGTGGACTATCACCTAATGTTTGCGCATAACTTGCTAAAAGACAAATATTATATATATATAAGAAAGCTTTGATTTGAATTTGTGATTCTAACAATAGAAATTAGAATTAAAACAAACCTGTAATACATATTACAAATAAAGCAAATAATTGAAGATGCATTATGTTTCAATAGATTAGAATGTAGTAGTAAATGGTAGATGAAGAGAAAATGATCAAATGTTAAAGCATCAGTCGTATATATATATATATATGCTGCAGCAGATAGGAAGATAGAATAGACAAAATAGCATCAATCATAGTTCTTTGCATTGTATGGAGAAAATAGTTCACTGACCTGATTACCCCAAAGAATCACTGCATCATCCTTTTATCACTTATAGCAGAACATGAAGCTGAAGACTAAAAGGGCAGCATAACATAAAGCACAGCTGTGATTAATATTCATACATTCTCATGAGATATACAAATGAATAGATAATGCATCTTTGCATTACTCATCGATGGACTGCGTTCATAAATGCCAGCAAAGTACTATTATTTGTTCAGTAGAACCAATAGTAAGCAATAGAACTAATGAATGGGTCATGAAAAATGATATGTAGTCTAGTCAAAGAAATTGCATTTGTTTATCTATCAATCAAATAGAACTAAATGTTGAAGCAAAGTACAAATACTAATGAACAGATGTTTAGTCTTAAACAAAAGTAAGATGTCAGAAAGAGAATAAGAATGATCAAATATATCCTGTATTAGAAAATGAATAGAAAATATCTAGAATATTCCAATATTTATTATTACAAGAGATTTTAAAAGGAAAATTTTCAAAAACAAAAAATTTCAAATTAAGGAAAAAAGAAAACATTCAGTTTAATATTGAGAATAGCAGAATTTTATTTATTTATGAAATTTTTTTAAATAGACAAGTAAAAAACAATTATTCTCATGTTACATATTTCGATAGATAAATAAAACTACAAATATTAATAAAGGCTATGTTTTTTCAGACTTTTTCAAGTGTAAAATATGCTAATCGATAGAATATTATACTATTAACAAAATTGAATGTTAAAAAAATAGATAGTGTTGTGATTTGTATCATAACTTCCAGTTCAATGAATCGAAAGAGAATAACTCATTATCTCTTATCATACAAACTCGATTCACATATATGATAGTTTATCATCTTGTAAACTGGATGATAAGCAATTTTATGTATTCTACTACAATATATAAACAATTTTCAATTCACATGAATTAATTAGTATTAGATGAGAAAGTATATATTCTGAAAAGAATTCTCATACTATCAAAAGTTCAGATATTGTGTAAACATAAAAATTGACTTTAGATCCTCATACTAGCAATTCTAAGTTATTCAGATAAGTTGAAACTATTACATAACTAGTATATAGTGCCTAGTTGCCATTCATACAAAAGAAATTGGATGATCAAAACTAGTTCAGTTAGTTGATATAGAGTTTTCCAATGTTTAAAAGTGTTAAAAGGTTTTTCATATTTACTGTTAGATGCACTAATATCGTTAACTTCTGACACAAGTCATAAATCAATTTACTAGTACAGAAAGATGAAACTTATCTGTCAAGATAGGCGGCATTATCTCTTTATGACAAACAATATTTCATATCATATTAACTATATCATTCGACAAGCTACTAATGATTAAATGTTAACGATTTTCGACTAACAAAGTAAGAAAATTCTGCTAGTAAAGCATGTCATAATTTTATATAAGTTTCCATAGTGATTCAAGAATCATAATAATAACGATAGTTAGTATTCCTTCAGAATACAGATCTTGTGTTTTTTTTTCCTTTATTGTTTATCTACCAAAGTCGTATCTATTTTTTTCCCTTAGGGACAGATTACATATAAGCAAATGATAGTTCTGAATTAACTCATGACTTATTTGCGTATGTTTCTTATGATGCTCTAAACATATGTACTTCGTTCGCATATTAAATTAGCAGTAACAAGAATTGAAAAAAATGCTATGAACAAAATTTTCGGAGAATCAAAATCAGAAAATAAATTAAATTACTCATAATCCTGAGAATTTTCATTTCTTTTGTTTTTAAAGTAACTCCATTCTGAAGAGGTTAAATATCATTTTTGTTGTTTACATTTTGTTTTTCTTAAAAACTTCATTGTACTTGAGTATTTACAATAAAGGTTGTATAGAAAAAATCTGAGTTATTGATTATCTTGATAGTAACATTTTCGAAACATAAGTTTCTACTTACAATAAATTCAATCATATAGACATAAATCTACACTGGTTGATAAATCTAATACTAATTGACACGATATATACATATATATATATATATATATATATATCTATTTTTCAAGCATGTATTCAACTACTTTACATTCAATATAAATAAGTTTTATTTTATATAAATATTAATTATAGTATTACAAATCTAACAAAGAATATATAAGAGAAAATTACTGAAAATGTTTTCTATAATATTACATAAATTTTTCAAAATAACATTCAAAATTAATTCTATTATAAATTAATGATAATGTTTAAAAATAAAACTTCTAAAAACTATCGTCACATTTCAAATGTATACTTGAGCAGTCTCAATAATAGATGATGAGTAAACGTAGTACGTGCGTTCTTTTTTTTTTGTTTATGCACATTAGTAATTTACATAACTGAATTAATTACATGGAAATTATGACATACTCAAGTATAATAAAAGAAATAACCTATTAAAATGTTGAATAAATGATAGATCATACATCAAAATCTATAAATTTATATTTAATTTTTTTTTCTCATATTACTTTAAAAAAACATGAAAATGTCAAACGCGAATAATCGATTATATTGAATTAGATATGCATATATATATATATATTTGTTGTTATTCCCTGCATTTTAATAAACCGGATACGATGGTATTCGATGTGTAGGAATGTTATTGTTATTATTATTATTATGAGTTGATGATGCTCGATAAAATTGATGATGCATACGATCAAGTAATGTTACTGGTTGATGATTAACTAATTCAAAACGTGATCGTCTTTGTTGTTGTTGCTGTTGTGAACGATCAACAAAATCATTTGTTGATCGTGTTGATGTTAATAAAACTGAAAGAGGTGAATAAAAATTTGATGGATTATCTTCATTATATTTTGTTGGAATTGGCAAATGTTGTTGTTGTTGTTGTTGTAAGGAAATATCACGTCGACGTGTACGTCGTGTTGGAAATTTTTGTGCAGATATTGATATTGGATGATTATCATAAATACTTTTAATACGTTGTTGACGATGATCTGTACTATATGAACGTTTTGAAATAATTGATTTTTTTTCATTAATTATTCCATTTATTGTATCTGTTTGTTCATCTGATGATGAATTTGATCGATTTGTTGATGATATAATATGTTGTTTACGGATACGACGACGACGTTTACGATTTGTACTTGATGATGATATATCAATAGAATCTTCATCACTTGAATGACAATTTATTGGTGGTAGAATTGATGTAGTTGTACATGAATTTGAAAGTAATGGATAAGTTTGTGAACAAGATACGATTGGAGATGATGATAGTTTTGATGACACACTTATTGAAACAACTTGTCTTTTTTCAGGACTCATTACTTCAATACGTGTTTTAAGAGAAGATAAACCATTCGATAATGGTAATTTTGATGAATGTAAATTTTCATAATCATCATCATTGGAATCAACATTTTTTTGCATTGTTGTTTTTGAAGGTTGAATAATTAATTTATCATATGTTTTATTTTGATATGATGATGTTGATGAAGCAGCTAAATACTGTTCACATTCAAGTGTTAATGCACGAAATATATCATCTAATGTAGAAGAATTAAGAAGTGGTTGTGGTTGCTGTTGTTGTTGTTGTTGTTGTTGTTGTTGTTGTTTTTGTGAATCTGATTGATGAATATGATGATTTTGATGAAGATGTCTTAGGGATGAAGAATTACGACGTGGTGGTAATGGTGCTATTGATGAGGATGATGATGTTGTTCTCATGACTGAAGATAACATTGATGAAGGATGGTAATCATGTTCGGAAAATGTCAATGATGGTAATATCTGTGTTGAAGATCCTTGAGAAAATTCATTATTTGATGAAGATTCATTGCGGAGTATATCAGATAAGAGAAGATTAAGACGATTTTTTGCATTCATTTTTATTATTGATGAAGTCTAAAATGATATAGATATTTCGATCATTTATCTCTTTTTTTTTTCTATACAGTAATATGTGTCTAGACACAATATCAATCGACCGTAACGTAACAAAACCAAAAGTCAATATTTATAATTAACATCGAAGTTCAATATCTAATATTTTTCTTCTTCTTCTTGTTCTTTAATCAAAATATTTTACTGATTATTCAAATGATAATTAGAAAAAAAAAATGATATAATTTATTATATGTAATTTCTAATTATCATTTCTGCTAACAAATTATTATTAATTTCTTTGATATGCTAATATAGAAACAAATTATAACTTGTCATCATCATCATCATTCTATGTTATTCTTACCGTTATTGATTATTTACTTGACCATAAAAAAATTGCACTGATCACAATGTAAATCATATTCTAGCCAGTTATTCTACTTGAGTGAAAAAAATAAGAACAACAATAAGCACATTAGATACACATAGTAAAGAAAAAAAAAAGGAGACACTGGCATCTTCTCTTTTTTTCTTTCTTGTCAATGTAAAAATGTGCAAAAGGAAAAGAAGACGAAGATGAAGAAGGCCATGTAGTTTTTGTTTAACGGATGGAATAATCAAGGATGATGACTTGTATTTTCTTTTCTTTTTTTTTCCTTTTTTTTCCTTCTTCGATCGACAACATACGGAACACAAACTCTAGTTAACGACACATGCACACAAATCAAAGAAAAAGGAAAATATAGAAAGAAAAGTTAGTTGATTATCCGCATTTGTGTCTGTCAACCGAATCTACTTTCTCTCCTGATGATGAGAACAAGTATTAACAATATTCATTTATTCATTCATTCATTTCTAGACACACAAGAGGCTTCCGACAATTGATGAACACTACATAACAAAGAACAAGTTGAACTTCAGAAGAAGAAGAAGAAGAAGAAAAAAAAACTATGGCATCACTAATTTATTCATCTCTTTTTGCATAGAGATATCGTAGACGCGAAATGCAAATTCAAACCATAAAAAAAGGATAAAACTCATCATCACTCTTCAGTCGTTCGTTATTCTAATTTCCCAGTAGACTTACATAGACACAGTCAATGTTCAATGTTACATAGCAGCATGCTTCGCATAATGGGTGATTGCGCCATAATTGTCGTATCGTTCTTTTTTTTCTCTCACATGCTATTCAATGTTAATAGGGCTGTTTAGCATATAATAAAACTTTCTGTACTGATGATGAGTGGTTAGAGAAATCGAGAGTACTCTTGCTTGTGGTCACAGCAAGAATATTTCGATAGAATTTATCTATAATTATAGATCGGAATTTGACATATATATATTATTGATCGATGATTATATGCATACAAAGAAAAGAATCGAATACTTTAAATGTCTTTGTGTGGTTATATCTGATACTAAAGTGTGAGAAACAAATGATGCTTTGAACCATCTGTCTGTCTGTCTAGATAAATATATATATGTCTGTCTTTACAGAAGGTTAATAAGTTTCAAATGTCATTTAGTATTTATATTTCATTTTCATTTGTAAATAGAAAATTTGAAAATCAACAAAAAAAAAATACATATGATACGGTGTTAAGAATAAATCACATTTGTTTCTTCAATTTTTATTTTGTCAAACATATAACTTAATTATAAACTGATATAATACTGATGATTTGAATTCATGCAAAAAGATAAAGCGAAATAAACTTTCATAATATTGTTCATACTATACCAACTTGATAATGATGTATAACAATATCATGTTCTTTTAGTTTTGTATGATAAGAATTTTGTTTAATAAATACTTCAGATGTATGTAAGAAAAGGATTACTCTCGATTTTCAGTAGGAATATAATCTGATATAAGAGAAAGTTTTATGTGTTTTTTTTTTCTAATCTTCAATTATTCGTAGTGAATTCTTTATTTTAAATAGATCAAAATCAATAAAGTTAAATTATATACGAACTAATCCATAAATGTCGTACTATCTTGATTTCAATAAGATTTATAAATAAAACCTAGTAAAAATTTTCTCACTAAATATTTATTTTATTCAAATTGAATAATCTGATTCATTGCGGATATAAAAAAAAAAAAAAAAGAATTCTTTTTCTTTTCATTAATTATTTAAACATATTAAATAATCGTGTGAGAACATGACAAGCTGATGAACAAATAGAGATACTATTACAAAATGACGAAAGATATAGTAAATATAATTTCATATGGCATGAATTGACAACGTACTTCGAAGTCTATTGATCAATATAAGATGCTGAATAAGAATTCGTTCGAGTAGTATTATTACAAGAATATAGTCAATATTTTTATTTAATTCAATTATATTGAATAATGACATATCAATGGTTTCAGATTTTTAAAAAATATGAACATTGATCAAAAGGTTTTTTTTTTCTTTTACACATTATACAAAAGATTTTGTTGTAAATGATTGAAAAAGAAATTCGTTTTTATCATATAATATGAATATTTGAATAGAATCATCGTTTCCAATGTGTAATATTCTACATCTCGATTACTAATAAAACTAATATCTACTATAAGAATATGCTATTCGTTCGATGACATAAAATCCTTTTAATCTAAAAAAAAAAAAGGAATAGAAAATATTGGCATGATTATTTTTTTTTCCCTTTACGCAATATATTCTTTATCCTTTTAATTGCTTGGTATAAGTATATTATAGTGTCAAAGGACTATTTACTGTTGAAATTTTATCAGTGAACAATAAAAAAAAAAGGTCTTCTACTAAAGATGTAAATCTCTTGTGACTCATATTTGATTAAAGAATGTAACTAACTACATACAATTGCCTATTTTAGAGATGATCTTAAGATTGACCTGATTATGATGGATAAGAAGATTTAGATTGTAAAGTATGCATACGACATTTCAAAGAGATGTTCACAAGAGTTTTCCGTCATTGAATTTCTATTTTCAATATTAATATATTTTTGTCAAATAAGTGAAAGTTTACTATTAACTTGATTGATTTGATGAATTATAAATTTTGTTCGTAAGTTTAAAGAAAGAAATCATTTCAATCTATTCAAGATACTAGTTTACAATTAGTATATTCAGTTAATAATTCAGAAAAAAAAACATAGAATATCACTGTAAAATCATTATTGAAACAAAATTTTCATTTTCTTTATGCCTGAGAAACATTCTTTCATTTCATAAGATACAATAATAAAGAAACTAATTGATTTCGATATAAAATTAGATAGAATCTAATCTTTCGAGTAATCGTATTATTTTATTGATAATATGATAACTATTCATAAATAAAACTTAGTTGTTTTTCTTATTCTGTATAATTGGTCTATAGTAATTATTTTATTCTGCTGGAATACCAACAAGTACTTATAACACATGTACTTGTAACTTGTAATTTCCAAGTACCTACAATAACTACAGTCTCTAAGTTAAATAAGAATTAAACTAAAAATTTGTACGAGATAACATCTGACAATAATTTTGACTATTATTATATTATATCTATTGCCAATCATATATTTCAACAGACGGAAACTGATACAAAAAAATTTTCTTTCTCCATCTGTTAGTTTATCTTCTGATTGCAAACAGAAAAACTAAAAGTCAATAATTATAGAAATGTCATTAGTAGTCATCGACCGAGCGAAACAAAACCTTGTAGATTTCTTAATCTATAAAACGATTTCATTTATTCTATATTTGTATCGTTTGAATATTAACTGAACATTATATATAGAATCTTCATTTAATATTTGACGTTTGCCTTTGACGATCAAGTTATTTTATTTCTTTCTTTCTTTTTTTTGTCTGTTCGTTCTGTCTGACAACATAAAAAACCGCCGCTACCGTCGTCATCAATTGATTTTGCTTTGCACTGGTACATGCATACATCCACATTCATATACGTACACATCAAATACAATTGATTCGAAAGAAAAACGACAACGAAAATCATCGTCAGCATTTTGACACCATCATTCATCAAACACTCATCATTGATTCTTGACGAGCTAATACAGTATACAATATATATATGAGTAAGCGAATATGTTATGTTTTCATAGTATACTATGATTATCATCAAGTATTATTTATTGGAATAATGTGATTATTTTTACTTTTTTTTTAGTTATGTTATATATATCATATTGATAAATTGATTTCTATAGGAAAAAATAAAACAATTATATGTGATTATTGTTCTCACGATATGTGTTTGTCATGGTCACTGTTCTTCTATTATTCTGTGTGTTGGACTTTCATATTCAGATAATCAACGGTAAGTATCAAATATATATATATATATATATATATATGAATATATTAATTGTAAACAGAATGTATAGAATCATCGTTGTTCTCTCTCACTTTTATCATAAACAATGGCTTTTAATTTGCAATGAACTTTCTCATATCAACAAAAAAATTGAAAGAAAATCAATTTTCGAGCTTTTTTTTGTATTCTCACATATTCTGACATTTTAATCGTAAATTACAAATGACGACAACTTTCAAATACAACATGAAATTCAATTCACCTATGTACTTTCATTAATTCATTTGATGTGACATTATATACTTGAAAAAAAAACAGAAAGAAAAAAAAAACCTATAGAAAACTAATTACTATTAGAAACTATTACGACAAATGTTTAAAAGAAAATGAATACAAATGTAATGAGATGAGACAAATCAAGGATAAAATAAATATGGGATCAATAACAGCATGAGAAAAAAGTTTCTATTTGTTAATAATTTATTTTAATATTTCATCTTCTAGCTGCCTGTAGTGTTCCACTTGGTTTAAGTACAGGTGAAATAAAAGATTGGCAAATAACAGCAAGTAGTATCGATGAACAACGTAAAGAACAATGTCAACCAAATTATATTCGTCTTTATTCCAATAGTAATAATCGTGCATGGTGTCCAAGAATAGATCAACCACATCAATGGATTCAAATAGATCTTGGTACACCAACAAAAGTAATCATCTCATAGAATACAATTTCTTTCTTTATTTCTTTTCTTTTTTTTATTGAATTTATTCATATAAATAGTTACATGGCTTCATGACACAAGGTCGACCAGGTACAAGAGAATGGATTACATCTTTACTTATATCACATAGTCTTGATTATTATCAATGGAATTATATAACTGATAGTGATGGTGATCAAAATATTTTTACAGCAAATCATGATGCTGTATCAATTCGTTATCAATATTTTCGGATACCATTTAATGCAAGATTTATTCGTTTTCATATTGTTTCATGGCATTTATATCCAAGTCTTCGTTTAGAAATTGTTGGATGTCAAGGTAAAAAGTTTCTTTTCTTTTAATTTTTATTTCGTGTTCGGTTTTTTTTTTATTGTTACCTAGAATGTAATAAACCATTAGTTTTCGCTCCATATACACGTTTTTCAGCATCATCATCTGTTCCAACTCGTCATCGTGCGTCATGTCAACCACGTGATGCTTTTTTATTAAGTAATAAAGGATGGTGTGCACGATATAAACAAAGTTTGATTTTTTTTCTTTTTATTAAAAATAATATTTTTTGTTTTTTTCTATTGATTGTCAGTCAAAGATAATTGGTTACAAATTGATATTGGTCATCCAACACGTGTTACAGCATTAATAACAAAAGGTCGTGGTGATCGAGGTGAACAATGGGTAACTAAGTATGTATTAGCCTTTTCTAATGATTCACGTTTATGGGTTTATTATAATGATGCTCGACGAACAGTACCCAAGGTAAAATAGAGATAAAATTGGCTGTTGTTTTTTGTTTCATTATAATTTGACTTTTTTTTTTTAGATATTTCATGGCAATTATGATAAATCACTTGAACGTATTCATTATTTAAATCAACCATTTACTGCACGATTTGTTCGATTTTTTCCGAAAGAATGGAATAATAGATTGTCTATGCGTGCTGGTCTACTTGGATGTCTACATATAGGTATTTTAATTCGACAAATAAAATATAAATCAAATTTTTTTTATTTATTTGTTTTTTTTTTGTAGGTTCTTGTTGTCTTGGATATTTTCGTGTACAACCTGAAACACCATGTGGTTTGTAAAAAATGATTTTGTTTTTTCTTTCGAATAGAAACTTCTTTTTATTTATTTTTTTAGTGGAAAATCTTGTTCATCGAAAAAGTATATCCCTAAATGATCTTACACAATCATTAGTTTATTCTCCTCAACAAACAATTTTATCTTATTTAATTGATGGTTATGATTCTCCATCACGTTGTACAACAATTGATTCAACACGTTGTAGAAATGGAGAACCACATATTACAATTGATCTCAATCGAAATTATCATGTTCATGGTGTTATTATTCAACAACTTGATACATGTAAAAAAAAAAAAATTCTTTCGTCTTTTTCATTTAAAAACAAAACAAATTCTTTACTTTATTTTAGTTTCTCATTTATCACAAGATGATTATTTATCTCGACTTCAACTTGATCGTATTATTGTGTATATAACACGAGATATGTATCTTGATTCAATTCAATATAATACAGCGCAATGTTCATTAGTTACACGTAAGAATTATGGTATTCTATCTCAACGTATACATCTTCAATGTCAAACACCAATTATGGGTCGTTTTATTCATATAAAACTTCTTGGTATAAGAACAATAACTAATCGAACACAAACACGAGTCTCATTACCATTTAAAGCTCATTTTTGTGAAATATATGCTTACAATTAATATGACTTTAATGTCCGGTGAAAAATAAGAATTCAATCTGTTGATGGAAGAAATCTAAATGAATCTCAAATAAAATTTATCAGGGAAATTGATTGATGCATGAAATTAAACTTATTTTTTACATAATAAAAAATTAAAGAGATGGTTAACCAGTAAACAATATGAATGAGTTCTTATGCGCTAAAATAATGACTTTTATTATATTTGTTTACAAAGAAAAAAAATTCGAATATATAGACTTGTCTAATTTTAAATAAAGAATTTTCTTAATGTTTATGTTTTAATAACAAATGATTCGATAATATAACTATTTGATTATGAAACATTGGTTTTGTTGATCATGAAATAGAAGAAAGAAAGTTAAAATTCATATTTAGAGAAAAACTGCGTATTTTATAGTATTCTAAACTTGCTTCACTCTTGATCGAATAGATAAAGAAATATATGCAAAAATAAATGATATCGCCAGTTTTTTATATTTTCGATGAGAAGACTGCGGCTGTCAGTTCTTAATACCGATTGTTACAAAGATGAGTACACCTGCCTTTCGACTACTTTGGGATATAGATTGATGCCTGGTGGCAGATTCAGTAGCCCGATATCGTCCATATAACTACTACTAGCTGTAGCTTTGAGCAGAAGACAAGCCTGACGCAGAGTCCTTGCATCCGATAGCTTGAGCTCGTCACACACACTAACTAACCATGTAAGAGCAAGTGTATGTCACGACATGGTCATCAGAGATATACTCACAATTCAAGAACTAGAAATTGTGTAGAACTCTACTCTGCAACAGTAACATAAAGATATACAGATCAATAAGGATCCAAGGAAAACGAGAAATTTATAGCGATTCAATTAATACAATGGAATTCTGATCGTTAGCAGTCATGTAGAAATTTTAGCCTCTATAAATATTGCGTGAAAATGAAGGAGTTCAAGAAATTTATAACAATTCTCACAATAGAATAGAATTCGAATGCTTAACAGTATCTATAGAGGTATGGATTTTTCTCTGACTCTTCATTCTTAAAATTCCGTTTAAATCTTGAAATAGTTATGAATTTCTTGATTTCTTTTTGTCCATATAGATATAGAGATGTTTATTTTGTTGAATTTTAAGAATTCTATAGAATTTCTAATTTCTGGATCATGAGCATTACTGTGATATTCATAAGCAAAACAGAGAATTAATCAATGAGAAGAAGTAAAACTCTTAAAATGAATCATTATTTGTTCGTTAAAAAAAGATATCTTGAGAAGGAATATCTTTGTTCTTAAACTTGATCGATTTCAAACATGTAGCCATTAGCTGCCCATACTCACTATTATGTTTAAAAAAAACTTGACAACAATCATGACAATAACATTCATTCTATTATAAGTTTTTCTCCTTCTTCCTTCAATGACAATGTATCATCGCTTTGCAAGTACTGTTAAAATGAATGATGAGAAATCCTTCAATAGCAAATAAAACAAACTCTCGTAACAACACTACCGAAGAAAAGGTGTCAACAAAAGAAAGAAAAAATATCTCTCCCTTTCTCTCTAATGAGACAAACAAATTTCTTCACATCTCTTTCTTGCTTCCAACAAATATTCATTTGTTTATTGTTCCAATTTATTACTAATTCTAGGACGACTATTCATAACATACAGTATGAGTGCAGGTGTGAACAAAGAGAACATAATACTCACACTATCTTCATTGAGTATATCGCGTTGCTTGCGATTCAATTTTATCAGTTGCGTAGTTTTTATATGGAAATACCTTGTTGATAATTGTATTCCTTCATCAAAATATTGTCGTTCAATTGCTTTCCTGCTATTATACTATTTGAAAAACCATGAAGTATTGTTTTTTTGAAAAGTTTTACGCTAGCAAGTGAAATTTCATTCTTTCACTGTATCATTCATTACAATTCATTGCATGATCAACAAAATAATGTGATTATGTGTATGTAGAACGAAACAGTAGAGAAGAAAAAAAACTATCGAATCGCTCGTTTCGCTGGAAAAGAAAATCGTAGTTTATTTTTGTACAAGACACTTCTTGACTCAACGCAATCATGCTTTGACAATGAGTGCACATTGAAATATATAAAAAAGAGAAAGTTGCCAACAGTAGAAGCAATACTTTATCATTCATCTTTTTTCTATTAAAGTCAATCAACACCCTTGAGTATCAACAAAACACGTATTTTGATAGTTGAAAAAGAAAAACCGCTGACATCGAAAATTTTCGTTTAAATAAAGGAGCTTTGTCGTTGCATAGCATTCATTTCTGATTTCAGATTGATGACACATATATATAATTCTTTACACGTTACGTACAATCAATGTAGGCTGTAGTGCATCTATGTCAACAGTTAGTTATTTCAGCAATCATCACCATTCTACTAAAGCAGTAACACTATCATCATGACCATCACCTACTACGTTAAATCACCTGTTGGACTCTAATCACATGATAAAACGGAGTCATCGTACTGATACACATGAAATCGCCCAAAATTTTCTCTTCATCTGGCTTGATGCAAAAATTGATGACTCCATCAACGACCACCATAATTCAATCAAACATCTGCAATGCACAGTCAATACTATTGAAATATTTCAAGATTTTTAGTGCTTTATGTGAAACTGTTGTGCCATGTATTGATCACATGACTCAACGCTATTCAATTAATGTATATTGTCGAAAACAATCGAAGTATGAAGAATGGGCAAAAGACTGGTCCAAAGTAAAAGGTATTTTCATAGATATTATCCCGATTTGTGATTCAGTTCGGGAATCTGCTCGACAATGTGATGAAGATTCAATCATGATTAGTGCTGTATCGTCATTGAATCAAATTGAACCATCGTTTATGTATGTATAACTTTTCAAAGAAATTATTCTCGAAATCAATTTCGATAAGAAGAAAGAAATCAATGGTCTAACCAAATACGCTCACGAGAAATGTCTCGGCAACGATGAACATTTGAAAATTATTGGTGAATTCGCCCAAAAATATCGAAGTAATTTGCATGAAAATAACAAACCCATTTGGTGGTATAGTCAGGAATGTTTCACGTACCGTTTGGTCAACAAAGCTCTGGGCAATCTATAAGTTGAGACCCTGCTCAAAATGAGCTTGTTTTATTCGAGATCTTCATCAAAATATTGAAAAACTCTATTCAGAATAATCAGCTACAATGCCTGATGGCACAACAAAAATTATAGCCTACCAGAGAAAAACAAGAACTAAACAAGATTTTGATAATAAAATTAAATAAGGTGGACTTATGTCATTCAATAATTTCTTCTCAACAAGTGATGACCGAAATATTGCTATTGACTTCATTTCGATAAGGCTTCATTCCAAGAACAAAGTCAATGTTCTATTCATAATGGAATTGGATTGATCGACTTCATCGACTTTCTTTGTCTACATTGACAAAGTCAGTGCGATGCTGACAGAGCAAGAAATTCTCTTTTCAATACACGATTTTTCATGTCTAGTAAATCAAAGAAATCGAATATGGAAGAATGATGTTGTGGCAAATGACACTTACACTCACCAATGACAGTGACGATCAGCAGCTCAATGCTCTTACCAATCAAATGCGCGAGGAGATCATTGGAACAGGGTGGCAACAAATATTTTGTTTGTTAGGGAAACTGACAGAAAACGACAAGGCTGAAAAAGTGCGCACGATGTTACTCGAACAGGCATCCGATGAGAACGATAAATCTTATTGTTATGACTAACTTGGACTGATCAGGAATGACCAAGAAGAATACAACATGGCAGTTGAGTTTTACGAAAAAGTACTCGATATCTTCTAAAAATCTCTCTCTCTCCAACGTATCCGCATATCTCAACATGCAAAAGAAGCACTGAACTTATGAAAGAAACAATGTAATTAATTCATCTTTGTTTCAACAAATAAATTTCATTCAATATTTGCTTATAATAATTACGAATTGTATTTGTTTTTTCTTTATGAAATTTCTATCCACGGACTCTGCTGGAATAGTACAGTTGGCGATGCCGACAACGGTTGAACAACTATATAAGTGTAGTCGGCGACAAAAGTTTAAGCGAATTTCTTTCTAGCTTTTTTTTTAAGTTTGTTTTTTCAATTTTTCCTACGCCATTCAAAAGAGCATTCAAAACTTAACAAAATCATGTATTTGAACTTCTAATACCACCAATTTTTCATGTCCATCTTTTTGAAAAATAGTTTTGAGAAACACGACTAACTTTTCATTGTTAATTATTTTCATGAAAAAACATTCGCTTTTTTTCCGACTATTCTCATTAGAATCAGGTTTTTGAGGTGAAGATCAACTCTGAGAATGAACCTTCTTTTTAAAAAACAGATAGAGCATGAAATCTGCTACACTATTGAAAATTTCAGAGAATTTCATGTTTCTATTTCATTGTTTTGAATAACTCTTTTTCTCTATTAATATATTACAATAGAACTTCATTATCTTTAATTACATTAACATTTCTTATTGATTAATATCAACAAGAACACAGTTCTCAAATTTTTCAAAGCATGAATAAGAAACAGAAAATATATTTAAGCATTTGAATAGACAATCATGAGCTTCTTTTCATAATTGATTAAAGTGTTGAATTCTTCTATAAAAGTATGATTTGTAAAAGACAAATGTTAATTAGTTTTACTTTAGAACATGGATGATCATTTTCTAATTTTTCTTCATGGTCAACCAATGAACAGTTCAAGATATTACAGGATCTTTCATATCGACGAATATATCGATGAAGTCTTTTGTCAATCCTTTCCTCTGCCTTGGAGACTGAAAAAGAAAAGTTTCAAGATAATTATCAACTGTTTTATTCAGAGTTTTGTATAACATTCAACAATATCTTATATATTTTGTGAAAATAATTGATAGTTTGATAATATAGCACATTAGAAGTGCAACAATAAAACACAATAATTTTTTGAACAAAAAAACTAATTAATATCTGAATTACGAA